GACTGTGCTTAAAAACTCAGGCCTAGAGTAGATGGAACTGAGTTTATATCCTAGTACCCTACTCAATAGTTAACGAAGCCCATTTTAAAGAAAATTATATTTAAAACAATTGTGGGCAAAATAAAAAAAACTTGTGGATTTCTTTACATTGACTTTATGGTCTCGTTTTGTTTTCCTTTTATATTGTATTTGGAGAAATACCCTATTCTGAGGCTAAAATGGGCTAATCCATTTGAGCACTTAGCCTGGCCCCTGGCAATATAGTTAGCACCCTCTAAATTGTAGCGATTACTGCTGCTCCCCAAAGTAATCACCAGATCTCAAAAGAGAAGGACTTTTGAAAATAAGAGTTCAGAGCTGGAAAACAGCCACATCCTAATAATAATTGTTTCACAGAGGCTGAACCAGTTTGCAGTTCCACCAGCAGTGTAGGAGTGTTCCTATCTCTCTGCATCCATGCCAACATTTATTGTTTGGGGACTTTTTGATAAAGGCCATTCTCACTGGAGATAAGTGATATCTCATAAAGCGATACAAGTAGATCTACCATTTGATCCAGCAATTCCACTACTGAGCATCTACCCAAAAGATCAAATGACACTCTACAAATGGGACGCCTGCACTCGAATGTTTATAGCAGCACAGTTCACAATCACAAAGGTGTGGAAACAACAATCCACAACAATACATGAGTGGATTAATAAAATGTGGTATATGTATACCATGAAGTACTACTCAGCTATAAGAAACAATGGTGATATAGCACCTCTTGTATTTTCCTGGATAGAGCTGGAACCCATTCTACTAAGTGATGTATCCCAAGAATGGAGAAACCAGCACCACATGTACTCACCAGCAAATTGGTATTAACGGATCAACACTTAAGTGGACATATAGGAGTAACATTTATCAGGTGTTGGGTGGGTGGGAGGGGGAAGGGGCATGGGCAATATATGTAACTTTAACATTTATACCCCCATAATATGCTGAAATAAAAAAGACAAAACAACTGAAAAAAAAAAAGATGTGATTACATTAAAATGAGGCCTAATCCAATCTGACTGGTGTAAAAGAGGAAATTTGGACACACCCAGAAAAAAAAAAATGTTTCTCAGGTGTAAGGGGGGAAGGAACTGTGCCTTAGGCTAGGTCTTGTAGAATTGTCACTTGATGGGGAGTTTCTGAGATTTTGGGGTGGGGTTGGGGTGGGGCAGAAGGAAAGTGAGGAGGGTGGACAAACCTGATGCTTCCAATGCTTCAGCATCTAGAAAAGTACGTTTGAAAACCAAGTGCTAAAATCGCACATTCCATTTGTATTGACCCTTTCCTATGTGGTTTCTCTCACTGTTTTAGGATTCGGATGGCAGATGGCATTCTGTCTATCCCCTGCTTCTGCAAAAGGTGGCCTTCTGGCCCTGGCCTGATACTTCAGAGCCCCTTTCTTGGAGTTGGCATATTCTCCCTCATTCTTCATTCGTCTGTTTCCTGTTTTACACTGTCAGGAAGTTTTTTTCAAGTCCCCTGAGGACTGGGGTTCTCTCTGAGTCTCCTGAGACTGTGGGGGCATTTGGAAACACTCCAGATTCTTTGCTACCTCTTGGCGAGAGAATTGTTTTGTTGATTCCTTAATTCATTCAGCTATCCTCCTGAGCACGTACAAAGGGCAGGGCTCTGTGTCAGGCAATGGGCACCCAGACTTTTATGGGACACTCAGTCTGCCCCGACCCATTGAGCTGCCCAGAAGGAGATCCGACACTGAAGTCTTTCCTCTCCAGATGGTAAGGGAGGGGGCCCCACGCCGCGTGTTCCTTCCTGCTCCTAATCCCAGTGGCTGATTTTCTAATTGAATAGTTTGCACACAGAGTTAAGTTTTCTCAATATCCTTAGTGTCTGCCTGGCTTTTCGGGCTGGGGATAATATCCCTTTGTGTGCTAATCGGCTTTCCGGGATCATCCATGTTCTCCAGCTCCTCAGATGCAGCTCACCCTGGAACCTCTTTGGCAAATAGAATCCTGACATATGCATGAATGATTAACTCTGGCCTTTTAAATTTGGCCAGGGTGCTTCCCAGCCTGCTCGGTCTCTCCATCCTCAGGAAGTGGCATTGCAGGCATGAGGAAGAGCAGGACCTTTGCCCCAAGCCCAAGGGCAGCGGGTACAGGGTTAGTTAGAGGTCAGTTAGGTTAAGAGCTCTGGCTTTAAAGCTCTGTCTTTATTAACTGTAAAGCTTCTGGCAAGTTCCTAAATTCTTTGTGCCTTCATTACCTCACCAACAAAATAAGGCTAATATTAATAATTCTGTGCTATTGTAAGAATTAAATAAGCTAATGCAGGCAAAGCACGGAGCACTGTGTCTGAGCCAGAGTAAGTATTTGGCAAATAATAATCACAGTAAAAGCAACAACAATAATTATTATTAATTCAAGGTGCATGGGGCAGCAGGGACTCTACCTAATTTTGGAGGGATTTGTTGGCAGCCTGTAGGAAGGTGACTGGCCCCTCTGCTGCAGTGGAAAGAAGGAAAAAGGGAAAACTGCATTTACTAAGATAGACATGGTGCTGGTGCATTCCATACGCTCTCACTGAACTTTCAAATACCCTCATGGATGGGCACTACGGTTCTCTCCAGAGAAGGAAACTGCCAGAGGCTCTAGTGACCTGCCCCCGGATCACACGGGCAGGCATGCCAAACAAGATTTGAAACCATTCTTGTCTGACCCCACCTCGTTCCCTGTCTACCCCAGAGAAGGGAGACTCTTCACTGCCAGCAAAGGAGCAGAGAAGAGTAGACATGTTGATTGTCTACTCGGGCCTGGGCGCTGCACACACATCATCTGCCTCAACTGCCCAAGTTGTTACCACCCAATTTCGTAGATAATAAACAGTGGAGCTCAGAGAAGGCAACGGCTTGGGGCAGCAGGGATGGGGCCTGGGTCTGTCTGCCTGCCAGGCTGGCGTTACCTCCTCGGTGGCTGGCCTAGCTCTGCTCTGTCGTGAGCTGTCCCTGTGACCATGGGAAGGTCACTTAACCCATCTACCTTCCAGCTTCTTTACCTATAAAACGGAAGAAAAGAACATTCGCCCTTCCTGCCTCTTAGCGCCAAGAGAAGGCTCAAATGAGGTAATGGATGTGAGAGGGCTTTATACACTGGAAAGCACTGTGTAAATGGAAGGGTTATTACCATCGCTCCATAAAAAAACCTCCCATACGCCCCATGTTTTCCATTTCCCTCCTGACGCTGTTGCCTGGCTTTAGCGCTTTTAGAGTCTGCCAGATCATCCTCCTGCCTCCTGGCACCAGAGAGGAAGGTCCTTTGGCCTCTCTGGAGCCTCCCTGTACCTCTCAGAGCGGAATGGGTCGCCGCGCCCTGGCCTGGCCTGCAGGTGTGATGCAACGAGCCCACCATGGCTCTGTGCCAATGACCGTGCTGTCTCGGGGGCCTCCACCCCCTCATGGGGCTGCCAACACCAGCCCAGGGCAGGGCGCTGCTGGGACCTCAGGAGGGTTACATGTGCTCCTAGAAGACCCTGGCCCCCCACTGTCCCCACCCAAGGCACTCAGATTTTTCATTTCAAGTTGTTTTCAATGAAGGCTCAAAAGAAATAACCTCACACATGTTAAAGACTCCTTTTATTTTTATTTATTTATTTATTTATTTATTTATTTATTTATTTATTTATTTTTTTAATGCTATCAGTCAACAGGGATAAAGACTCCTTTTAAAGTACTTTTCTTTAATCCTCTCTCTTTCTTCCCTCCTTCCTTGCCCTCCTTCATGGGCAGCCTGGTCTCCCCCTCCACACAGCCCCATCCATCAGCTTGGGAGCTAACCGAAGCCTTCTCACTGGGCTTCTTTCCTTCGTTTGAGAGGTGATCTGAAGTCAGAACTGGTACAAGAGCTTAAATTTTGTCCGATAGGACCTTGCCATTTTACAGATGATGAAACTGAGACCAGAGAAGACAGCAATTTTCATTCAAGCACATTCTGTTTCTAAGGATTTGGTGAAATGTGGTGGGAAGGGGTAGAGGAATGGTGGGACAGAAGGGTTTTCAGATTCTTCTCATTGGAGAAGCCCTAATCTGATTGACTTTGCTGCCCAGTACCACTCCCTGGCCACTCCGAATACCAAGAAGCAGTGACCTGAAAGTGAGCAGGGAGATGTGTGCATGTGTGGTGGGCGAGGTGGATAGGAAGTGGGGAGTGGGAGCGGATGCTAAAGAGAGAATTCATCGAGTATAAGCTGGGCTCCAAAATGACCGGTGGAGAAATGTAAGACTTGGCCATACCCTTTCCTTTCTAGAATATTCTATGCATACTCCTATCCAGAGGGATAAGTCCTGGATATGATCCAGGAAACGATCTTAGGCGTTTGCCTTTCCCTGAAACTGTGTAATACCTGTCTGCTGAATCTAGTTTCTAAGCTGGGGAGAAGCCCCTCGATGCCTAGCAGGTTTTTGGCTCTCAGGAAGGGTTAAATAACCATCATCATCAGTTGCAGCATAAAGGAGTAACCTGCATGAAATTCCATTTTTCTACCTGCTCCCATGATCAAAGAAACAGAGCAAACGAGATTATCTTCTCCCTGCCCAGACACAATCTCATTGCCTCCGCTCCATCAACCGCATAACCGTGAGCAGCGTTATTGCCATCTCTTTATAACAGATGTGAAACAAACCTTAGGAGATGACTGAAGAATTGCTGTTCAAACCCAGTTGCTAACTCTGAAGTGAAATGAATCAAAGCCTTTTTTTTCTCTGCCTCCAGGCCGAGGCTCGTTCCCCAGCCTGGGAGAGCAGAGGAAAGTTTCCTTCGGCTTTTCAAACAGACACTCAGGTCCTGCTACGGCGTCTACTATTCCAGGCCCTAAAGTAGGTAAGTGGGGCAAAAAACAGAAGGAGGGCCCCGCCTGCACTAGGGCTCTATGGACATAGCCTGCTGCAAGCAGGGCCAGATCTAGATAGGGGACCCTGGCAGAACAATGATTTGGTTCCCTTCCAGTTGGCTCAATTATTTATAGGCAAGGCTGAGAGCTTTGAGGGAAAGGGGGGAGCAGGGACTGTTGGTGGCAGGTCGTGTCCCTTCTCTGTTGTCCCCAGCTGTTTAGTGCTGGCCCCAAATGTGGGCACCCATCCTGTAAAATAAAAGCCCCACAGTTAAGGGCATGGCCTAGAAAGCATCTGTGACCAGGACGTGCCCTGCTTTGGCCCCCTTTATTCCTGAGCTCTCGTCTTACTCCCCACCCCCCCGAAGCCCCATCCGCTTCCCAGGGAGACTCAGCAAAGTAACCCACCGACCCAGCCAGCCGTCTTCCGGAGGGGTGTTCTGGCACACACTCTCTAGCTTCCTACATCGCCAGGGGCATTTGGATTCTCTTTGCAGACTGCATCTGGGGTGGTGGCCTGGCTGGTCCATCCTTGATTCTGTTCAAGCTACACAGGTCCTGCGCTTTGCTGGGTCTGCCCGGGAATTCCAATCCTTGCTTTGTGGACCCTGACTCCCATTTTCTCTCTTGAGACTGAAGCTAACTTACTTTTAGCCCTAGTTTGCTCCATCCCTTCTTTCCCATCCCCCTTTGGCTCTTCTCCCCACCCTTTTGTCATTGGCCTACCCAGGCCCCAGTTTGGTTTGAATCTTTATTCTCCTGTTCAGTTTTCTCTTCTTCCTGCCACTAAATACCCTGTTGAACTACAGCTCCACTCTGGCCATGATGGAGTAACTGGGCCACCGGCTTCCCAAGGGTTGGTGCTCTGCTGCCCCCTGGGGGTGCACACTCTACTGGCTGTTTGGAGACTTGTGGCTTCCACACCTGGTATTGACCAAGGAAAAGCTTTGAAGTCAACATTCTTCCAGCACACACTTTCCCTTCTTCCCATGACATCCCCTTTCCCTTCTTACAGCTGCTTCCAAGCTCACAGATGTTTTCCCCAGCTGCGAAGCCCCCTCGGTGCCCAGATGAGAAAGCCTTGGTTTTCCTTCAAGCGTGGGGATTGGAATCTGCAGAGAGAAGGCTGGTCCCTCCCAGATTGCCATTCCTTTTATCTGCAGAGAGAGGAATTATTGTAGATTTACTCCAGCGCGGGCTGTACTAGAACAAACACACATGTGCGTGTAATACCCACATGCCAAAAACTTGATTTCGGCAAACAATCAGACCCTGCTAATTAAAATGTCTAATCCATTTAGATGAATGCAACGATTCATTTAGCCAGACAGTTATTGTGCAATGTGAGTACTCCTCCTTTGCATTCCCATCTAGTTGGATGGAAGACTCATTTCCTGGGTGGGGGCCACACCTTGTGATCTTTGAAATGGATTCCTTTGCTCAGCTTAGCTCAGTGGAAGACCTCCCACCCCACCTGTCACTGGTGACACTGGCCCCCTGCTTCCAGGAAGCATTGGTGTATCAGCTTGTTTCTGGTTCAAGCCCTGCTGATGGAGAAACATGCAGTGTGGGTCAGATTTACCCCCTCCCTGCAAGGCTGCCTGTCTGCAGGCACCTTCCCGAATTCTCTGCCTGAGATGGAAGACTTGAGGCTGTTATTGTCTCCGATGCTCCTGGTCCTGCCATATTAGCCATGTTATTAATAGCCTCAGGGCCAGAGAAAGGAGGAGAGAATAATCGTGCTACAGTTTGAGTTTGTCCCTATCAAACCTCATGTTGAAATTTGGTCACCAATGTGATGGTGTTGGGAGGTTGAGCCCAGTGGAAGGTGTTTGGGTCATGGGGCAGATCTCTCATGAACAAGCTTCATGCTGTTCTCTGCATAATAGTGAGTGAGTTCTGGCTCTCATGAGACTGGACTACTTCTCAGGGGAACAGTCCCTCGACATGGACAGAGCAGGTTATTATAAAGGCAGGACATCCCTAGGGCTTTGCCTCTTAGCACATGTTGTGTCCACTTCTCCTTTGACCTTCTCTGCCATGCTGTGACACAGCACAAAAGTCTTCACCAGAAGCCAGGGCCATACCCTTAAACTTCCCAGCCTGCAGAACCACAAATTAAATAAACCTCTTTTCTTTATAAAACACCCAGCCTTAGGTATTCTGTTATAGCAACACAAAATGGACTAAGACAGAGAGTAGAGGAAGAATCAGAGGGATAAAAAGAGAGTAAGGGATTGAGATACAGAGAAAGAGAAGAGGAAATCTTTCACCCACTCACTTCGAGTGTGCAAAAAATAAACGTCCCAGACACATGCTGCCGCCACCAGCGTGCAGACCAGGAGTGAAGGGCTCCCTCCTGCCCCTCCACCTGGTCTCCTTGCTGCCTCCTGACTCCAGGAGGGCTTGCATTTGGAAACATTTACTGAGTGTCTACTCCATGTAAAGCCCTGAGGTAGTCGCTGGAAAGAGATTAAAAACAGGAATATGACTAAGTATAACATAAGTAAACAGTGAAGAGTGCCATGAGAGAGGTGTGTGAGGCTGCAGCCGTGGTCTAGGGTGCCCATGCGGTCTCACAAGGCATCAGGAAGTCATAACTAGACAGAAAGGAGGGAACTTCAGGTGGTGTTTGTGTAGCAAGAGTGCTATTTTCACTGAGATTGAAGGGAATCCGGGTTCTTGGGGGAGGGAACCTGAAGCTCATTAACTGAGAGGGGGGTTATTTAAGAAAAAGAAAACAAAATTGTGAATACAGAATCAGGTCTAAATTGAATATTTATTTCAAATAAGAAAATAGGTCATTGTAAATTATACATTTCAAAAGCTGACAATATCACAAACATCAAAAAGTCCAGAAACATAATAGGATTAAAACATTCATGGGCTGACTGGCTTACCTCTGTGGCACTTTCTTCCTACATTTTTTAGTTGCATATTCTTTAATGTTTCTTCATATAACAACAAGTTTGGCATATTATTTTCTAAAAAGAGAATAGGAAGATAATTCTGTCTTCTGGCACAGTTGATCAAAATTTGTTTTGTATATGGATCGTTAAGATTCATAAAACATGAGACTCCACACACAGATGTACTGTTTTTGTGATTATGCTGCAGGTTTATGCCCTGCAGCTCAGGGATTCTGCTAAATCCCAATGTGAGGAGCTGTTGGGCATGTTCACAACACAATACTGCCTCTGGCCCTGCACCTGTCCTGACGCCAGGTGAATTGGCACGGTTGGGAGAAAATGCACTCCCAGAGTCATTTCTACATCGGGACAGCTAGCAATACTTAACTCTATCCCAGACTGTGGGCTACAGAAATCTAAAGAACCCAATTCAAAGCTTTCCCAATTCAATTTCCCCTTGGCTGAGTCCCTAAATGCCCAGAGCTACTCTGGCACCACCGGCATAATGGGAAGTGTGGTGAAGGAGGAAGGCTGGAATGGGAAGAGATACTTGCTTTAACTAATTCAGGTTAAAATATATGACTTTACAAAAACATAAGATCATGTGAACACCTTGCAGGACCCTCCCAGAACCTAAGAAGGGGTCTCAGAAGTGAGGGCCCCAATGTTCAAGGTTTTATTGGCATCAACATAAATTTATCACTGCTTAGATTATAAATTTGTTTGGGATGGTGATGTACATTACAGGGGAGATGACCTCCTCTCTACTTGGAGCTTAGGAGAGTGTTGCATAGTAATTAAGTGCATATATTTTGGAGCCAGTAGTTCTGGGTTTAAGTTCTGGCACTTTAGGAGTTCTATGATATTGGGCAAACTGCTTAAACCTCAGTCTTCTCACCTGTAAAATGGTAATAATAATATTGATAATATGCACATGAAGGGTAAAGCACGTATCAACCAATCCATAAATGCTGGCTACGTTTTATTTCAGAGAGAGAAGCGATATCTGTCAGCTTCTGGAGTGTCAGAGTGAGGGTAAAGGGGAGAGAGTTTGGAAGGAGGAGATATTTGATCTGGATATTAAAGTCCTGGTAGGATCTAAACATTCGAAGTGGGGGTGCATGTTACAGCTGAGATGTGTCCAGTTTGAGAGGAGTACAGGGTGCCAGAAAGAAAGTCTGACATGCATTTGACAATGTAGTTTGGGGCCAAGGAGGGTGGCAAATACGAGACTCTGGACTTTATTTCCCGTGATGCAATACAATCAGATCTATGATTTTGAAACCTGAGTTTTGTGGCATGGGAGAGGACTGCTGAGGAGGGAGAACGTGGAGTCAGCAGAGCCATTAAAGGGTTACTGAAACAGTCCAGGCAGGAGGTGATGAGCAGGGTCAGAGGTGCACACACACACACACACACACACACACACACACACACACACACACACTCCACACGCACACAAACACACATCCAGGAAAACAGGCTCCACATTTACGGCATGGTTACGCTGTGTCTCTCTGAATTGTTTACCCCGTCTTCTGTTGGGATTTGACAGATAGCAGACCAGACCAGCCTGGCAGAGCTGTTGCTGGTGCCAGGCTGAAGCTGTGCCCTCCTGGACATGCACTGGGTTCTTGCATGACAGAATCATGCTCCGTGGGCCCAAGGGGTTACTCTAGCGCTGGCTGCAGCTGGCTGACCTGTCTTCACATCTGAATAGGCTCTTTTCTGGGAGCTGGAGGAAGCTGCCAGCAAGTGCTGGTCTCCAGCAGGCTGATGGGCAGTGCAATTTATTTTATGCTGAGATGACACCAGGGTGACAATGCCTCTTGCAGGAGACAATTTGGTTTCTGTAATTGCTAGCCTGGGGGCAGGGGAAGAGGTCCCTCTCTCAATTCAACACCTGCCGGAGTAGCAGAGATGGCAGCAACAGGCTCCTTTGCAAAAAGGTTCGGAGATCTCTCTCCTGTCCACCTGCCCTGGAGACTCTCAGCCCAAGATCTTGTGCATTGGCTTTTCTGAGCCAGGCAGGAGCCAGGGATGAAGTGACTTGGGGACTTAAGCATTAACCAGCCTGGATATGGAATTTTGCCCAAAGGATTTTACCTCATTTGAATCTAGCACTATTCTGGAAATTTCTGTCCATTGATTCACAAGCCTGTTGCAAATCCAAGAAATCATTAGTGGTCATTCTCACACATCCATTTGCAAGGTACAAAAAATGGTGGCATAGATTGCTTCAGATCTGGTAAAATGGAACTTAAGAGTTCCCCGTTATAGATTATTTTCCCCATGAGAAAATATCCCCTCTCCTACTTGTCTATATTTGCATTTTTATTGTAGTTGCACAGTGCCTAATACAGTTTTTGGCACATCAATTAGTACTAATTTGTTGACTGACTGAATGTATTCTGAGATGAATAATAATTTGAACCAGGTAATTAATTTCTATTATTTTACTGTGAGGAGGAGGAGAGATGATTAGTATGTGTCTTCATTCATTCATTTATTCATTCAACAAATATTTATTGGATGGTTGCTAGTGGTGTCCTAGGCCCTGTCACTGTGTGCTGGAGATAAACATCAAATAGGTTACAGCTCCTGCCTCAAGTAGTTCCAGCTTTGTGGGAGACAGGTCAGCACTTACCACGCTGCTGGAGGGAAGTGGCGGGTGCAATGGGAACACATTTCAGGGGCACTTAACCCAGGCAGGGAGTGCAGGGGGTGGTAGTCAGGGACAACTGATGATATCTCACCTGGGACTTGGGGGAAGAGTGGGAATTAGCCAAGTGAAGAGGGCGGGGAGGTGAAGGAAAAACCAATCCATGGTCAGGAAACCAAAGAGCTTCTGGTCTAGGGAAAGAGCTGGACAAAGAGAAAAATGTGATTGCAATAATGTGTAAGTACTAGGATTGGGGAAAAGAATGGGTGCTTCAGGGAGCTTAAATTTCTTTAGAGACAAACAAATAAATAGATTCCAGCTAGCTCGAGATGAAGGACACCATGTTTGTTTATGATGTCAATGTGAAACCTGAACAACCAGGGCTTCTCCGGGGTTACCACTAGTAGGTCCTCCTGGATCTTGTCTCCACGACAATGTATGCCATGAACTCCAACTGCCTGATCTCTGTGTGACTGTGCTCATGTCTTCAACTTCCTAGGATGAAGGACCTGACTGGCCTAGATTGGGTCAAGTGTCTCTACTTTTGGACGAATCAGGCATAGACAGGGAACAGGAGGGTGAGTGGACACAGCCAGTGGGAAATTCCTGTGAATTCTAAAAGCAGCCTCTCCTTCACCTCTCTCTCTCTCTATCTATCTCTATCTCTCTCTCTATCTCTTTTCTTCCCCCTAGAGTGTAATAGGAAGGGAGGACACTTTGCCAAGAGTAGGTGCAGCAGGGAGGTTGGAAGTCAGAGAAGGTTTCCTAATGTCTCCACTGAGTCCTTTTAGGTCTGGGAGAAATTTAGCCTTTATTTGCAAGGCTCATCGGGTTCTTTTTTTCCATGCCAGTCATAGAAAAAAAGAAGATCCCTATTAATAGACCTTTCACAGCCAGCTCTAGCACTGCTGGACGGCAGTGGGTCCTCCAATGTCTCTGACAAACTCCAGAGATGGCAGAGGCCAGAGAATATTCCAGGACCATAACTTGAGGGGGCTGGAGGGAAGGAGGAAGGTGTGAATGGAAGGGTGGGGCAATGAAGAAATGAGTGGGGTAAAGAGAAATGTGCTATTGTCCTCAGTCTAATTTGGGTTTATCCAAGTGAATAATTTTCTCAGGCAGCCAGGAGGAGCTGTAAGCCCCTGAGACTAAGAATTCAAGCTATAGTTCTGACAGCTTTAAAAAATTGGAATCAAGCTCTGCCTTGGGGCCGGTGAGGTCCTTCACTTCTTCATTCTGCATCCAGGCTGGGAGCAGAATTCCCAGAGGCTGAGGGCTGCTCTGCTCTGTCTTTGCAGATTCACAAAAGGGGTGGACGAGTCTGTAGCCATGCACACATCTTCCCTTGCTCACCAGGGAAAGGGCTCCATACTCCCTGGCCTGGAGAGTGAGAAAGAGTCTGGCCCCAAATAAACATCTCTGCCCACTCCGCTCAGGCAGGGCATCTTCTGGCCTTTTCCTCATCCCCCCTGGGTGCTCTTGGCCAGTTGGGTGAACAATTGCTCTCAGCCTCTTAGAATCCTAGATTCATAGACAGTCAAATCTTGAAGGCATCTCAGATACCTTTTATCTATCCTTATATATTATAGAGAAGGAAGGTGTGCCCAGAGAGGATGAGAAATTCCCAAGGTTAATCAACTGATTGAGGACAGAACTGGTACCAGAATGAAGAGTTCTCAAAGCCCATTGGAGCCATCACTTATGTTGCCTCTCACACCTCTGCTTTCTGCAGGAGGACTGAGTATGGTGGCACCCAGACCCACCTTTCCTTTTTGCTGTCACCCTCCCCAAAGGTCAGAGTTGGTTTCAAGCCAGCATTGGAGGGAAGGAATGGCTCTCACACTTCCCTCTCTCCCATGAAGCTTATTCCTTGGATAAGGAGCTTCTGGGTCCAAGAGTCAGACCCAGGCTTTGCTGAGGAAAAGGAGTCTCCCAATTTTAAGGAAGTGCTGCTTAGAGCTTTATCACCAGTTTGAGGATCTCCTGGCCCCAGGCCCTGACCAGCACTGAGGATAAGGGTGCTATTAGCAGAAGACCACTCAGCATGTGTGAGCTACAAAAGAGAAAAGAAGTGAAGTGCTGGGGTTAGCCCATTGGTCAGCTTGGGCAATTCTGTTTGGACAGGGTGGTAATAGCAGTGGTCCTAACTCCTGGAAATCCTTGTCATCCAGGAAGAAGGTGACCTATTCAAGGTCAGCCAACAGGCCCTTCACATGAGAGAAGATCTGAACCTATCAAGCTCTCTTTTCATGGAGAGCTTCTGCTGCAGAACTTGAAATGCCAACCTCACAACTCTAAGGACAATGATTTTTTTCTTTCTTTCTTTTTTTTTTGAGACAGAGTCTAACTCTGTTGCCTGGGCTAGAGTGCCGTGGCATCAGCCTAGCTCACAGCAACCTCAAATTCTTGGGCTCAAGTGATCCCAGGGAGTGCCTCAGCCTCCCAAGTAGCTGGGACTAGAGGCACGCGCCACCACGCCTGGCTAATTTTTTCTATTTTTAGCTGTTTGGCTAATTTCTTTCTATTTATAGAAGAGGCAGAGTCTCTCTCTTGCTCAGTCTGGTCTTGAACTCCTGAGCTCAAGCAATCCTCCTTCCTCGGCCTCCCAAAGTGCTAAGATTACAGGCGCAAGCCACCATGCCCGGCCCTTTTTTTTCTTAAATATAGAGACAGGGTCTCACTCTGTTGCCCAGGCTGGACTTCAGTGGCACAATCATATATCACTGCAGTCTCAAACTCTTGGGCTCAAGTCATCCTCCCACCTCAGCCTCCCAAGTAACTGGGATTACAGCATGAGCCACTGTACCTTGTTACAATTTTATCTCTTTTTTGGAGAGTGGTTCTTTAGAGAGATATAATGATTTTCTCTTTTTTGGTAAGGTACAAGGGGGAGTGATCAAAGAAAATATTTGCACCGTCACTTAGCAATCATTTGGAGATTTGAAAAAAATACTAGAAATTTTTATTTAATTGGTCTTCTATGCCGCTTGAGTATTGGGCATTTAAAAACTCCCCAAGTATTTTTAACACACAGCCAAGGTTGAAAAACCACTGATCTTAACTAAGACCACACTAGAATGTAATTTTAATGAAAGCAGAGACTTGGACTCTTTTGTTAACTGCTGTATTCCCAGCACAGACAAAGGAGCCTGGAAGTCTTGCTCAAAAAGCAGTTGTTGATGAATGAATGAATGAATAAATGAATGATTCCTTTGTACATCAGTAGGTGTATACTCATCATGTCATCAACTCTTCCTGATTGAAGGGCAGGGAGAGACCATCTCTGTCTTGGACAGGGTAGGATGGAGCAGGTTGTGTCTGGGCCCTGGCCAACACGCAGTTAAAACGATTTAAGTAGCACAAAACGAAGCCTGTTGGCACATGGGAAGAGCTCTTGGGTCACAGCGCCTGTGAAAGAGGCTGGGTGGAGAACGTGATGACAACTTTGTGTTTAATTAACTCGGCTACGGAGGCATCAGGAGTGGAATTTCATGGAGGCTAAGATTACCCACCGGATGGGGAAAGGGTCAGCTCAGATCAAAGGAAGCATCTGGAGGCGTGGAATAAAGCCTTGCTGGGAAGCAGGCAGAAGATCTTTCACCGCCTGGAGTTTTTATGAGGCATTTGAGACAACTCAACTCTGAGAGGCCCAGAGAGGGTCTGTTGTGCAGGCTGCAGCCCCACCTGAGAGTCTGAGGGCTCTTCCTGCAGCCAAGGTACCGTCTCCATGGAGACCTGAGGAGCTCATCCTCCCTCCCCTTCCACCTTCCACTCTATGTTGTGTGGGGGCCAGATAGCGGGTTCCAGGGGGAAGAATCGACACAGAACCTATGGAGAGGGCATGAAGGAACAACACTGGGAGAGGAAAGGGCATAAACTGAGGGCATGAGTGTGAGGGGGATACAGGGCACACACGTCTCGGGGGCAGAGCGGATCTGTTCAGGGGGCAGCCTTGTGAGGGCAGGCGTTGTGGAAATGTTATAAAAGATGGAAGAGACATGCAAGGATGGGGAGGATGTGAGTGTGTATATATATATATATATTTTTTTTTTTTTTGAGACAGAGTCTCACTCTGTCACCCAGCTAGAGTGGTGTGGCATCAGCCTAGCTCACAGCAACCTCAAACTCCTGAGCTCAAGCAATCCTCCTGCCTCAGCCTCCCAAGTAGCTGGGACTACAGGCATGTGCTACCATGCCTGGCTAATTTTTTCTATATATTTTTAGTCGTCCAATTAATTTCTTTCTATTTTTAGTAGAGACGGGGTCTCGCTCTTGCTCAGGCTGGTTTTGAACTCCTGACCTCCAGCAATCCACCCGCCTCGGCCTCCCAGAGTGCTAGGATTACAGGCGTGAGCCACCGCGCCCGGCCTGTGAATGTATATTTGAAGTCGTCAGGACGGAAGGTTCAGAGGCCTCGCCATGGTAACAGGGAGAGGGAACTAATATCTGCCGGGGACCTGCTCTGTGGTGGGCAGTATGGTGTGTTATCTCAGTTAATCCTCACAGTTCCTCTGTGAGGTAGGGAGCGTCAACTCTGTCTTACAGATGAGTACAGTCAGGCTCAGAGAGATTGAATGATTTTCCTAAGGTCACCAAACCAAGTAAGCGGAGAGTTGAATTGCACATAAATTTGCCTGTCTCTGAAGCATGAGTTTGGAGAGGAGAAGCATAGATGGAGGACGCCCTAACTTCACATCGCGGTGTTTAAACAGGCTAAGTCCATATTGATACAAGCAAAGCAGGTGGCAGCGTCTTCCTTCCAATTGCCAGTCTCCGTAGGAAAAACAGACTTTCAGGAGGATATGAACTACTTGCAGGGGGAAACACAGGTCCAACGTGACTTTCCAAGGTTTTGCCTTCCAGATTCTCTTAAGATAGGACATGCCCCTAAACAGGCAGGGCAGATCCTTCCAAAGCCCAGGAGTTAGGGCAGAATTACCAGGGTGTTAGGAAAACTAACTCCCTGCTTCCCTTTCTTTTCATCTAGAAATGTGAAGCAATTGCTGGTAATTACTGGAGTGGAAAGAGCCCAGGCCCAGGAGACAGAACGTTTGAAGTCTAGGCTTGCCTCTGCCGCTGTCTCTCCAGCACCCCTTTCTCCTTTGGTTAACAGAATCCCTCTTGCCTGTGGGGAACTCGCTCTTAGAACGATGGAACTATTTCACAGTCATTGTCGGTAAGGGTGCTGATTACTGTCTGTCTAGTCAAGTGTAGAGATGAAGAGACAGAGTCCTGGCGGTGTTTGAACACCTGGATCCCACTGCATTGGATTCTGCACGTTTCAGTTATATGAACCAACAAGCAACAGATTGTTTGCAAAGATGACTCCAGTAACTTCACCCATCTCTGTGTGCATGCTCGTTTGCCACGGGACTCCTCCCATAGACAGGTAGCATCTAGTTCCCCTCGCCTTGAATCTGGGGGTGCTCTTTGACTTGATTTGACCAATAGAATGTGGCAGAACGGACACATGTGGCTTCTAAGCTTTCCTTTCGAGAAGACCTGCAGTTTCAGTCTTCATGCTCTGGGAACCCTAAGACTACCAGGCTGGGAAGAGGCCTGGTCTAGTCCCTTGAGATTGGAAGGACACATGGAGAGAGGGGCCCGGCAAAATCACCAGCTCAATGAAGCCACAGTGAACCCAGGCAAGACCAGAACTAGCCAGCCAACTCACAGAATTACGAGAGATGATAAATTGCTATTACTTGAGTCACTAGTTTTGGGGTGGTTTGTTATGCAGAAATAGATAATTGATTCATGAAAAGACAGTCACCAACTTACTTTGTGACCTTGTGTATCAATCATAGTTCTTGATGTCAAGCAAAATAAAATCAGCTTTTGCTTATTTGATCTATATAGTAATTTATCTAAAGGATATTGTACTGTCAGGAAGACTGAAACACCATGGTTAGAGCTACTCACCAGAAACATGCTCCTAAATTTGCCGTCATCAACATCCTTCCGTGGCCACGCCAGGTGTTCAATCACATTCAACTGTGATGCCAGAGAGAGAATCTCCTGCTATTCTTGTTTCTTTGCATCATCAGGTTCTGATTCAAGGCATCCAGGGTGTTGCTTCCGACTGGACAACACTAGGCCATGTGTCTGCATCCTCCCTACAGGGAATCTGGGGAAGTAAATATCTGTCATTTCAAGCTGTTATTAATATCAGTAAGCAGACTTGTAAGTTGGTAGATTTTTCCAAATATAGAAAGTGGGCCAAAAAGAATGACCAATGTCCTGTATTTATCCCTTTTTCTGGATCAACATCAATGTGCACCCTTCTTTCCATATTCATATTTCTGAAAGAAAAATTTTCTTCCTAATAGAATTTGATTACCTCTTAACAGCTTATCTTCTCCCCAGATTCTCATTAGATATGGCAGCTAGCTTCAAGTTTAGGATCTGTGCTTGATACCTATTTCTCCTCTAGCTCCGGCATGAATTTGCATTAATATTCTGTAACGTACAGAATAAATTGTGAACCTAATTACAATGAACATGCCCTATATCAGCAGTCCCCAACCTTTTTGGCACTAGGGACTGTTTTCATGGAAGACAATTTTTCCATGGACCAGGGTGGGGAAGGGGATGGTTTTGGGATGATTCAAGGGCATTGCATTTATTGTGTACTTTTTTCTATCATTATTCCACTGTCATATCTAATGAAATAATTATGCAACTCACCATAGGTTGGTGCTATAGGCTGCCCTATATGAAAACATGAGTGAGAGGGAGAAGAATGGAGAGTAACAATTGTTGCAATACATAAATGTATACATAACATGGAAGGTAATACACATAGGTTCTCCTGTCCTTGTTTTCACAATAAATGCTCAGGCTGGTCTCGAACTCCTGAGCTCAAACAATCTGCCCACCTGGGCCTCCCAGAGTGCTAGGGTTACAGGCATGAGCCACCATACTCGGCCTTCAGTTGGTTTTAAAAATTAAAAAAATGTATATTAGGACGGGTGCGGTGGCTCACACCTGTAATCCTAGCACTCTGGGAGGCCAAGGTGGGTGGATCACTCAAGGTCAGGAGTTTGAAACCAGCCTGAGCAAGAGTGAGACCCCATCTCTACTAAAAATAGAAACAAATTAATTGGCCAACTAAAAATATATAGAAAAAAATTAGCTGGGCATGGTGGCACATGCCTGTAGTCCCAACTACTCGGGAGGCTGAGGCAGGAAGATCGCTTGAGCCCAGGAGTTTGAGGTTGCTGTGAGCTAGGCTGATGCCACGGCACTCTAGCCCAGGCAACAGAGCAAGACTCTGTCTCCAAAAAAAAAAAAAAAAAGAAAAGAAAAGAAAATGCATATTACATAATGAAAAGCTTGAAGGCTGGGAAGCACAAGGGCTAGTTAATTAATACAACAGCTCAAAAATATCATCAAGAACCTGGGCTCTTCCCATTTCTTTGCTCCACCCTTCTCGGTGTCTTGGTTTATTTCCCTCTGTGTTTGTAAGTTGGCTGCCCCCCTGGCTGTAGGAACTGCATGCAGCCAGATTATGTCCAACAGAAGAGGAACTATTCCTTCCTTAGAGTCTGTGTTTTGGAGGAAGGAATCCTATCTCAGAAATATCAACCAGACTCCTGTTAGAAAGGAGGAAGGGGGCTTGGTGAGTAGTTGTTGGGTGGTAAGTGGACAAGGTCTGCTATAGACTACAACTCTCAATCATGATGACATAAGTCAGGCACCGGGCTGTCAAATCAAACTAAAAACCTTACTGATGTGTCCATCTCTTTTTCTTTTGAGACCCCATGAGCTAACATACCAAAGATCCCTATGGGTCTATACTAGTCAGGGTTTTCCAGAGAGACAGAACCAATAGGATATATCTCTATATAGATATATGAGAGGGGATTTATTAGGGAAATCAGCTCATACAATTATAGAGGATGAGAAGTCCCATGGCAGGCCATCTGTAAGCCAAAGACCCCGGGACACTGGTAGTGTGGCTCAGTCCAAGTCCCAAGGCATCAGAACCAGGGAAGCCAGCGGTGTAACTCTCAGTCCTAGGCCAAAGGCCTGAGAACCCAGGGGGCCGCAGGTGAAAGTCCTGGAGTCCAAAGGCCAGGAAACCTGGAGTTGCTGCCCAAGGACAGGAGAGGCAGTGTGTATCCCAGGTTCAGCAGGTAGATTGAAATATTTGCCTTTTCTCTGTTTTTGTAATCCCGAGGGCCCCAGCAGATAGGATAGTGCCTGCCTATGTGGAGGGAGAATCTTCTCCAGCTCGTCCACTCAGACTCATGGGCTAATCTCCTCTTGAAATACCCTCAAGACACATCCCAAAATGATGATTTACCAGGTTGCCAGGTATTCCTTAATTCAGTCAAGCTGACACCTAAAAGTAACCATCACAGGGTCAGACCATTCTGATTATCAGGCTGCTCAGCGTCCTATCGTGGCAGCCAAGATCAACGTGCATCGGGCAGTCAGTGCTCTTCCCAGGCCTGTGCTACCTCGTGGTATTCCCGATCCAATCGAAATCGTGCATCTCATTTCCAACTACTGTTTCTCTCTACCAGCATCCCTCGCTGACAGAGAGTAGCCACTCTAGCTTTTTATAGATGTTGGCACTCCCTCCCTAATGTATTTACCATTGCCTTGATGAAGGTAGCGGTTTTTGGGTCCTCTTGGGAGACATAGTTGGGAGGGGGTAAGCACTTATGATGAATTTCCTCCAACATTCCTGTCTCCCTAGGTCTTTGAATTTACTTCCTCTAAATTATACCTTGTAATTTTCTGGTATCTCAGCTGCATTTAGTATAGAGCACTAATGAGTCCAGGTTTCTGTCAACCCACCCAGCAAACAATTAAAAAGACTCCTGGATGCTCAAGCTAGTGCATCAGATGCAGAATCACTGGCAGATGCCACCGTATCAATAAACTCAGCTTGACCTAAAATTATTGTTTTCCCTTGTTGGCCTAGCACCCTCAGAATCTACTCCTTCAACTATCCCCCCGGTCTCTGCTAATACAATTATCAAAGTCATGTACTTTTTTCTGTAAGCCTTTCCCTTTGGATATTGGATGTGGACTTCACTCCCTACCCCACTCTGTCCAGGGACGTACTGAGATAGTTGTAGGAATGGAGACAATGAGGGTAGAAGGGTGGGGCATGGAGAGAATGGGCTTCTCCGTGTAAGGTAATACCCTCAGCTTAGATTGTTGCGGGATTTTTAAGCAAGGTGGGAATAGGTGCATGAGAAGGGAAGGAGGGGCTGATTTGGCTGACAAGGGAAATAGGAATCAATGAAGTTTAGAAATTCAGTGCTTTTTGAGTCATCTGAATCTTCCTATAGTTCTCTGTTCCAGCTCTTAAGTCTGCCTCTATTCAATGTTCTAATTTTCACCTAAGCAACAATGTAAAGCTGCACAGTAAACTAATCTTACAATTCGGCAACCTGCAGGATCAAATTTTTTTTTTTAGAGACAGGGCCTCACTTTGTTGCCCAGGCTAGAGTGAGTGCCATGGTGTCCTAGCTCACAGCAACCTCAAACTCCTGGGCTCAAGCGATCCTACTGCCTCAGCCTCCCCAAGTAGCTGGGATTACAGGCATGTTCCACCATACCTGGCTAATTTTATATATATATATTTTTTAGATGGTCAATTAATTTCTTTCTATTTTAGATAGAGACGGGGTCTCGCTCTTGCTCAGGCTGGTTTCGAACTCCAGCCCTCAAGCTATCCGCCCGTCTCAGCCTCCCAGAGTGCTAGGATTACAGGTGTGAGCCACCGCGCCCAGCCAGGATCAAATTTTGTGTTCAATTTTTGTCTATTTCAGCATCATGGCTTAAGACAAAAGAGATTTTTCTAGTACAGACATAAAAATCTTTGGTTTTTATTTTGTGTCCTGAGTTGAGAACTTAAGAATTGTGTTTTTCATTTTTTAGTTTCAAAATCTATCCAGCCCTATTAGAAGCATTTTATCCTATATCTCTTAAATTTCCCATGCTTTTTATATTATTCCATAGTAGCAATTGCTTCATACCCTAAACCTTAACTTCAATAGGTATTTCATTCCTGGTGACCACAAGTAAAAAGTTAATGGTTTGTCACTGTTTACCAGGCTTTGGCAGAATCACATCTTTTACTCATAGATGAATTTTCACTTGCATTCAGTCCTAACCATGCCAAATAAACCATCCCAGATTCTTGCCAATTTCTGGAGGGTCTGTTTCTGCCCAACTCTTGGTACTATTTTTGGCATCAGTAAGATTTTTATTTGCAAGCAACACAAAGAAACTGTGGAGAAAAATAAAAGATGGATTAAAAGGATATTAAAAGGATTAAAAGGTAGCTCACTGAATCAGGATTTTTATAGCCAGGAACAACATCCAGCACTATGACTCTGGAGATAAAAATCTTCATCTATCCCCTTTCATTGAGTTACCATCTCCCAGTCACAACCTGGGCCAGGAGTGTCCGGTTGGTGGGTCAAGAGCCTATGCCTTGGCTGCAAAAGAAGCGTGGAAAGAGATTATCTGGCATTTTTGCCCTCTATTATGGGAGATGGGCTTCCCACCAAAGTGGAGAGTTGCCCAAACAAAAGCAGGAGTTGAGCTGCTGAGCAGCCAAAGCAGATGGTAGATGTCCACTAGCCCTTGCACAAGTCACTGCTGTCTCTGTTTCTCAGTTTCCTCATCTGCAGAAAGAAGGCTTTGGACTAGATGGTCACTAAAGTTGCTCCTGGATCTGCCATTCTGAGGCTCTGCCACTCCCCTTTGACCTCTGTGGAGTGGGCAATTCCAGCTCACACTGTTCTAGCTAAGAGGTGATGAGCCCTTGCACTGCTCCTAGTCATACGGTGGAGGGGGTGGGGGACGGGGTGGGTGGTGGTGGTGTGGCCAGAGGCTGGCAGCCTGAGGGCGTGAAGGACACTCTTCCTGGCTCCTGGCAGCTGTTGTGTGGAGCCCTCGTGCAGCTGTTTTTGTAGCAGCTTCCACACTGATGCAGAAAATAGAAGCAGTGTCAGGCCAGCGCTGTGAGTGATCCAGAGAACAAAGTCATTTTTCAAGACACTGCCCTGTTTGAACACTGGGTGTCGGGGTGACAGATTTTGTAGACACTTTATGGGGAAAAAAAAATCCATCCACCACCTTGAGTGATTTTTAAGCCTTTAGACATATTTGGCAAGTGTGAACACTTTCTCTTTAATCAATTGCTTCTCTAAGAAGTGGCTGTGCTGAAGGGCGAGAGCCGTGTGTCTACTCCCCCACCTCCGGCTCCCTTTCCAGCGCATTGGTTTTTCAATAGGAAGAGGCAAAACTTTCTCCACAATCCCCGACATGGTGCCTGCATATTAAAAATACACCAGCTTTCTTTGCTGTTTGCCTGCGGATTTGTTTCATTTCATACCTCACTGAAGCCTCCTCTCTGTTCGGAACGCGCTGTACCCAGTTGTAAGAGAGGAGGGAGGGGAGGGACTGGAGAGCCCGTCGGTTGTTTTCTTAGCAAACTCTGAGAAATGTTGAAATTGGAGTTTGAACTTTGAATGAACAGAAACCTGAGGGCTTGAGGAGGAATTTTAATTCACTGGTTTGCCTGGAGCTTTGGTCTCGACCTTTCCTTCACCTGAGGGTGGTATCCACCAGCCACCTCTCGAAAGGTGGGCATTGGGATTTGGGGTCCGAATCCCCACTACTCTTGAGCCCGTGTGCAGCCGGCGGCCAGAAGCATATCCATATTGCCTAAATGGGGGGAGCAAATGTTTGCATAATTGAATATGAGATGCCACGTCAGACGCCAAACCATTTTTCTGTATTCACCGCCTGCAGTAGGCTAATTGCGTCCCTCCAAAACTCATATCCACCCAGAACCTCAGAATGTGACCTTATTTGGAAATAGGGTCTTTGCAGGTGTAGTTAGTTAAGGATGTCAAGATGAAATCATCCTGGACTTAAGGCGGAGGTGGTTTATAAGAAGAGGAGAGGACATGGAGAGATGCAGAGAGAAGGTGATGGGAAGATGGGGGTGGGTGTGGAGTGATGATGAGTCTACAAGCCAAGGAGCATCAAGGATTGCCAGCAACCTCCAGAAACTAGAGGAGCAGCATGGGACAGTTCTTTCCTCAGCGCCTCCAGCAGGAGTCAACCCTGCTGACACCATGACTTTGGACTTTGGGCATCCTGAAGTGGGAGAGAATAAGTTTCTGGTGTTTAAGCCAGCAGTTGGAGGTGACTTGTTACAGTAGCCCTGGGAAACCAATAAGCCATTTCAAACGTCCCTTCGCTACTCTGTCCTCAGTCCCTACATGAGGTCCCGCAAAACTTTCTCCTCCCTCAAGTTTCAGCTCCAATGTCACCTCCATGGTGAAGTTCTTTGAATCTTCATTAAAAATGAATCGCTTCTTTCTTCTGTGCTCTCGCAGCTTTTGGCACCGACTTTGGGGTGCTCCTCCCTTCTTGACCTCGGGCTTTCTGAGGGCAGGGACAGACCCTGGCATGCAGTAGACACAATAAACGTGTGTAGAGAATGGACGGAATGAGACCTTGGCTTCCTGCAAAGGCTACACAGCAGGTGCCACCAAACTTTGGAAGAGGGCAGCTTTCCCCAGTGATCCCGCACGCGTTTCTTCTCTTCCGATGTCATTGCTGGCCTCTGTGGTGGGCTGCTGACTGTTAACACGTCTCTGCTTCCGTGCTAACGATCATCGTGGTGTCAGCTGGTCCCAGTTCAATGTGAGGCTCTTCCCAGGATCATCCACACTCATGAGAGAGAAAAGCCTCACACCTTGGGAACAGGTGGGGGGGGATGGGCAGGTGACCTACTGGTCCTACCTGGGAGATAGAAGACACAAAGGTGCACTGGCTTCTTGTGCCCCTTCTGAAACGCTGCACGTTCCTGGGAACGATGGTCCATGCTGGTTCTCTCTCCCTCGGCACTCTGCCCACTGCTGCTTCCCCCGCAAGCTCCCCCCACTTTTCCCCATCCCCTACCCCATTCCCTGCTAACCACCAAATGACCTGGATCATTTGGATGTAAGAAATACTGTCTTTTGTCCCCGTTGGGTTAGCTTTTTATTGGTGGTGTTGTTTACTGCAAGAGAAAAATGCTAGGAATCTGACTGAATTGAACCATTTTATTTTCTTTAAATTGAAAGAAAATAAAGGAAGAAAAGAAAAGGTTGTGTTCAGACGACGTTCTGGGCACACGGCAAGATGAGGTGGCAAGCGAGCATGGCAGACCATTCTGTGGACTGTGCAGGCTCCCAGCCCTGGGACGTTGCAGGCCTTCCATGCACTGTGGACCCCCAGGCTTGGGTGGGCCTGAGGGGGTCTACCGGTGCACTTGAACAAAGGCGGTGTGGAGAACTGCCACCTGAGCAAGCCGCTCACGTGATGGGGCCTGGGAGGAGGCAGCTAGAGAGGGCAGGTGTCCCTGCCAGTAACACAGACTGCTCGCTCTGTGCCCTCACGGAGTTCTCCTGCAGCCCTCGGGGCCCTTCCCTCCCTCTGTCCCACCCAGCACATGGGAGGTCGCCCCACAATGCTCGGCTGCTCGGTGCAGGGGCTGAGGGTAGCAGGGATCTGTGGGGACATGGCAGATTCCATTTTGGAGGCCACATACTCTGAGGCAGAGGATGATTTATGAGGTAGGCTAGGATTCTCTTGCTTCAGCTCCCCCTGGAACTCCCTGGAAGGTTCTGGTCATTTTATTTCATTTCTAAATTACCATATTGTCCTTCACCCTTAGCAAATGGTCCTGGGATTTAAAAGGGAGCTGCTTGGATAGAGCCATTAATCACAGAGCCTGGAGGGGTCTTGGGGAGAGCTCTCTTCTCTCCTTCCTTGCTCCACTTAGATTGCAGGATTCTCCGTCCTTTAAGAGTCCTGTTCAATGACTTGGATTTCATTCTGAGAGTGGGCCGGGCTTTGTATGGGGAAGGCTTTCAGGAAGAGGGAGAATGAGAAACTGCTTTAATCAGTTCCTGCTGCTATAACAAAATACCACAGACTGGGACATTTATAAGTGATAGATATTGATTTCTCACAGTTTCAGAGGCTGGAAAGTTCAAGATCAGGGTGCCAGTGGATTCAGTGTCTGGCGAGGGCTTGTGATTTCTTGCTGTGTCCTCACATGGCAGAAGGGGCAACAAGGGACTAGGTTGCTTCTTCAAACCATTTTTTAATAAGGGTACTAACCCCATTCATGCCAGTGGAGTGATTGTGACTTAATCACCTTCTAGAGGCCCCACTTCTTACTACTATCACATTGGGGATTAGGTTCTAACGTATGAATTTTGGAGGGACACATACATTTAGACCACAGCAGCAAGATTGTTCATTGATTCATTCAATATATATTGAGTACCTACGTTATGCCAGCCTCTATCTTAGGCACTGGGGAATATAGCCACGAACAACACACACAAAAATATGCCCTTAAGCAGCTTACATTCTAGTTCTAGCCTGACTTACACAGTAGGTATGTTGTTTTTTCTTTTCCAGAAGGCAGAGGCAAGGCAGGGGATAGAGAGATTTTACCACTAAACTGAGGCAGAAAGAGACTCAGCGAGACCGCAAGCCAAGTATCTGCCTTACCGCCAGACAGCCCTGTTTCTCAGTGGGGTAGCCTGGGGAGATATTACCAAACATGCCTCATTTGATCAACAAGGTTGCTGTCTCTCTACTCAAAGCTTGCTGGGGGAGGGTGGGCTGGATGGCAGCATGGCCAATTACTCCAGCCTCTGCAGGCCACGGGCGAGGCCACGTGTCATCCTGGGAGGGGAACCAGAGCAGGAGGGAAGTATGAGTGTGTGTATATCTATGTAACAGGAACAGGTCAGCATGTGCAATGTGAAGCTTTTTATTTTCACACTGGTTTTCTGAGGTCTGAGCCTCTGCTAGATGTGGAAGATTCTGTTCGGATTTGAGAGGTGGTATCCTCTGCAGAGTGAGCGCTGGGACCAACTTGTTTCGATAAGGGCTGCCGAGCTTGCATTATTCCTCAAGGAGAGGCAAGGAGCAGTATCACACCAGCTTCCAGGGGGCTGTCCAAGAGAGGGGCCAGGAAGTTGGGTGGGAAGAAAGGAGAGCAGCAGGGTGGAACAGAGAAGGGGAATCCACATATCCCAGGGCGCGAGTCCAGTAGAGCCAGGACTCAAACAAATTAGAACGGACAACATTTCTGAGTGACCTTCACAGAGCATGGCTCTCTCTTCTCTGCCTTTTCAGGAAAGCCAGGATGTCCAGTTTCTTGCATTCAAGCACCAGCCAAGCTCGGGTCTTGTGAAGGGTGTGGAAGAGTCTCCGGCAGAGTGGACATAGACGCAGAGCTGTCAGGCCCCAGGGCTTGCGGGGCTGCCCTAGAGCGTCAACAGGAGGGAGAAGGCGGCAGGAGGGTCATCGGTCTCCAGGGAGAGAACTCTCAGGCCTGGGCCCCGGGGACCTGTGCTTGGCTGTCTGACAGCCCAGACATCTGTTGGGGCTGCTGCACAGCCGTTGTTAGTTCTGGTCAGGGGCCTGACTCACAGCAAGCTCCTAGGTCTCCAAAAATAGGGCCTGGATTTGATCTGCGATTTGCAGCCTTTTTTAAAAAAGTTTTTTTTAAACAGAGAACTACCTTTTAAACAAAGTTTTACAAGGAACCCCAGTTTTAAAAACAATCCACAGCAGAACTATTTTGGTTGAAGCGGGGCAGGGACTGGAGTCTCAAAATGCCCTTGTTTGGCCTCTCTGTGTTTACTTTTCTTTGGTAAAGTAAAGCTGCCCTCCCTGGCACCTGTAAACTCTCAGTTTCCCCTCTACAGATGATCAGTCTATAGTCTTCTGCGAGCATGGGGGCTGGGTGCAGCCAGGGTGCCCAAAGGGGAAGGGTTCCAGAAGCTACTGTTTCGTTTTAGTTTTTTTTTTTTTTTTTGTTGCCCAGGCTAGAGTGAGTGCCGTGGCATCAGCCTGGCTCACAGCAACCTCAATCTCTGGGGCTCAGCGATCCTACTGCCTCAGCCTCCCGAGTAGCTGGGACTACAGGCATGTGCCACCATGCCCGGCTAATTTTTTGTATATATATTTTTAGTTGGTCAATTAATTTATTTCTATTTTTGGTAGAGACGGGGTCTCGCTCAGGCTGGTTTCGAACTCCTGACCTTGAGCAATCTGCCCGCCTCGGCCTCCCAAAGTGCTAGGATTACAGGCGTGAGCCACCACGCCCGGCCATCTTTTTAGTTTTTTGAAGTGTTTTTTAAAATTTCAAAATATTAAGGGGATACAAATGTTTCAGGTTACACAGATCACTTTTGTAATGCTTGAGTCCCGGCAAAAGGTATGCCTGTCACCCAGGTAGTGCTCATAGTAGCCATTTAGGTAGGTTTTTGCCCTTCCCTTACTCTCCCTGCCCCCCTTTTTGATTTCCACTGAGTTTTACTTCCCTCTGTGCACATGTGTGCTCATCAGTTAGTTCCAATTTAATAGTGAGCACATGTGGTGGTTTTTTTTTCCATTCTTGAGATACTTCACTTAGGAGAATGGTCTCCATTCTTAAGATACTTCACTTAGGAGAATGGTCTCCAGTTCCATCCAGATTGTTGCAAAAGGTATTAATTAATCTTTTTTTTTATAGCTGAGTAGTACTCTATGGTATACATATACCACATTTTATTAATCCACTCATGCATTGATGGGGACTTGGGTTGATTCCACATGTTTGCAAATGTGAGTTGTGCTGCAATAAACATTCAAGTGCAGATGTCTTTTTGGTGAAAAGTCTTTTTTTCTTTTGGGTAAATACCCAACAGTGGGACTGCTGGATCAAATGGTAGGTCTACTTTTATTTCTTTGAGAAAACTCCTTACTGTTTTCCACAGAGGTTGTACTAATTTGTAGTCCCACCAACAGTGTATAAGCATTCCTTTCTCTCTGCCTCCATGCTGGCATCTATTGTTTTTGGACTTTTGATAAATGCCATTCTATAGTAACTGGGGTAAGGCGATACTTTATTATAGTTTTAATTTGCATTTCCCTGATGATTTTTTCTTTTCTTTCTTTTTTTTTTTTTTTTTTGAGACAGAGTCTTACTCTGTTGCCAGGGTTAGAGTGCCATGGCATCAGCCTAGCTCAGCAACCTCAAACTCCTGGGCTCAAGCGCTCCTTCTGCCTCAGCCTCCCAAGTAGCTGGGACTACAGGCATGTGCCACCATGCCAGGCTAATTTTTTGTATATATTTTTAGTTGTCCAATTAATTTATTTCTATTTTGAGTAGAGACAGGGTCTTGTTCTTGCTCAGGCTGGTTTCGAACTCGTGACCTTGAGCAATCCTCCTGCCTTGGCCTCCCAGAGTGCTAGGATTACAGGTGTGAGCCACTGCGGACGGCCGATTTTTTCATATGTTTATTGGCCATTTGTCTTTCTTCTTTTGTGACACTTCTGTTCATGTGTTTTGCCCACTTTTTAATAGTGTTGTTTTTTTCTAGCTGATTTGCTTGAGTTTTTCATAGATTCTGGTTATTAGCCCTTTATCAGATGTGTAGCTTGTGAATATCTTTTCCCATTCTGTAGGTTGTCTATGCGCTCTGTTGATTGTGCAGAAGCTTTTTAGTTTAATCAAATCCCATTCATTAATTTTTGTTGTTGCCATGATTGCCATTGGGGTCTTAGTCATAAATTCTTTGCCTAGGCCAATATCTAGAATGTTTTTCCTACATTTTCCTCTAAAATTCTTATGGTTTCATTCCATAGATCTGAGTCTTTTATCCATCTTGAATTAATTTTTGTGAGTGGTGAGAGGTAGGGCTCCTGTTTCATTCTTCTGCGTGTGGCTATCCAACACAGTGCTGGAAGTCCTAGCCAGAGCAATTGGACAAGAGAAGAATATTAAGGGTATCCAAATTGGGACAGGAAAGGTCAAACTATCACTCTTCACTGACAATATGATCTAGTATCTAGAAAACCCCATAGATTCCACCAAGAGTCTCCTGGAATTGATAAATAAATTCAGCAAAGTCTCAGGATACAAAAATCAATGTACATAAATCAGTACTAATATACTAATAACAGTCAGGCCTAGAGTCAAATCAAAGACTCAATACCATTCACAATAGCTACAAAGAAAATAAAATACCCAGGAATATACTTAACCAAGGAGGTGAAAGATCTCTACAAGAACTGTGAAACTCTGAGGAAAGAAATTGCTCTGAAGGATGTGATGAGCATTGTAGGGGGGAAAGGATTACCTCTATCCCTTCTTAGGGAGAGGCAAAGAAACACACTGTAACCAAAAAAAAAAAACTGTTAATGGGAGGTGAACAGGTGGAAGGGGGGAGAAGGGGAAGGGCACGCACTTTCATGGTGGGTGCAGGGCGCACCACTCAAAGACTGGACACGCTTGAAGCTCTGGCAGAGCGGGGTTGGGGGGCAGGGGCAAGATATGTAACCCTAACAATATTTATACCCACAGAATTTGGGGGAAAAAAAAGAAATTGCAGAGGATACAAACAAATTGACAAAAATATCATGCTCATGGATAGGTAGAATAAACATTGCTTCTTAAACAGCTTCCTACCTGTTCTCCTTGTTTTAGCAACTTCTCTTCACCTCCACTTCCAGAAACATTTGATGCTGCCAACTCCAGGGCATTCTGAGGATCCTGTGGTATGTATCAGGTTGACTTTTAGCTTTCCTCACTACCCTTAGTGACTTAGATTTCTTGGGTCTGTCAAGTTCATTATTCTTTGCCCATCCACTTAGCAACTTCCAAAATTTGATTACTATTACTATTTTCTCCTTTCTCATTTTGCCTTTTCCTTGTGGGTTTTTCCTTTTGTAAACAACCCCTTTGCTGTAGTTGTAGTGAGGTTTGGGGGGGGAGTAAAATTAGATGTGTGTTCAGTTCACCACCTTTAATAGGCAGTCCAGCCATTTCCTTTTATCATTAAAAAAAGACCTTTCCAGTTTCCCACCACTAAGCAAAACCCCAAGTACCCGGCACAGGCGTGTGTGCATTAGCAGGAAAGCTGCTGTTCTCCCTGTTTGATGGCCCATTGGCCTGCTC